TCAACTTATAGATGCTTACCAAAGTTAATTTGCAACTTATTTTTGTAGTTTGTCCTAAAAAATGGCAAAAAATTGCCAAAAAATGCAATTTTTGACAAAAAATGAGGTAAAATTAATATTTGAGGTCAAATATCCATTTAATCACTCTAAAAACCTTTTTAAACGTTATTTTGGGGCAAGATACCCTTAAAATACATGTTTTGTGGTATATCATACCCCTTAGTCATGCCTATGTCTTATGTCTACCTCGCATGGGCGCCCGGACCACTGTGGTATGGCAGTAGGGTGTAATCTACACCATTACCAGTATCTAATTGGACCAATTAGTAGTCAATTTAATTTAAAATCAGTAATAGTCAGTCTACTTCACCATTTTACAATAGCAGCAACCAAATTAAGAACAAGCAAACATCAATACAACGCACAAACAGAGCAACTGGGCAGAGTGTGAGTTACACTACGTCCAAATGTGAATAACGTTTACTTCCTATATTGTCCCTGTACTACACACATTCCACAAATTTATGTTAGGAAGGACATAGGAAGTTGAAAAAATGTGTACTTTATTGTGATCAAGCCTTATTGTAACTTCTGCTATTACACTGGGGCACGAATTGCAATTTTAAGGCAAGATTTCTAAAACACCAAATTATGCCTGTGAATAACGCCTACTTTTTAAAATGCTGCTCACATAAAAAGTATAAGAGATAGACATTAAACTTTTGTTGCCACATCATCACAAACGTTTAAACTTCATTCTGACTTTATATTATCATGCTGCTAATGTTAGCCTACAATTAGCATGCAATTAAAAGCTAAATTTTGTGCAAAGTGTGAATTACACTACGTGGAATTGCCCATATATTATATAATATACTACTACTGCTTAGATTTAATGAAAAGGTGGACGAAGAGATTAATAGGATGAATTGGATAAACATTTTCTAGGATTGAGCAGGCAAATATCAAAATTCTGTATATAACGATTTTGGGTAATAGCACCTGTATTATATATTATATATTATCTTTTTATCGAAAAAGGTAAGTCATCTGTTGAGTCTTAAATCTTCAAAAGAAGACATCTCGTGATAAATACTAGTTTGAAGGAAATAACCAAATGCAAAGCGGTGTAACGGAAAGTGACGGAATGGAACTGACAATGAACAGAGTTTGTAAATATATAGAGTATTGTTATTATAAACAATTGCCCTGTAAACGGTTACCCACTAAATGATTATAGATTGTCTCATTTGATGGCGCTCTTCGAACCAAAGAAAAGTTTAGCATATTTTATGGAAATTAGAAACTGGTAGCTCAGTGCCCAGGTAGGTAGCTCAATGACAAAAGCAAGATCGAGGTGAACGTCACAATCTCATGTTAAGCACTGAATCCCTGCCTGTGCCGGGGGGGGGGGGGGGGGGCTTGTGCCAAATTACCGTATAATTATCGGAAAGCAATTTCACTGTGAAATTGTGAAATACTCCAGCTGAACCACCTGTTACAATTAAATACTCTATATATATATACTACTACTACTACTACTATGTCGGAGCTAAGTCCGATCTACGCCAGAAAACCCCCTCCATATATCCCTGTCCCGCATCAGGGTTCGCAGTTCCTCTTTAGAGTTTGTCCCAACTTCCTTCAGTAACATAGACAAGTAGCTTTGTCTTGGTCGGCCTTGCTGTGCTCTACCGTGCGTAGGTTCCCATAAGACTAAATCACTGGCAAGTAGCTCAGGATGTCGGATGCAGTGTCCCGCCATTTTTAATCTCATGCTTCGTAACTTGTTTGACAGCCTTGGGAGGCTACCATACAAAGTTATATTGCTGACCTTGTCCTTCCATGAGATACCCAGCACCATACGCAACATCTTTGTGTATGTCCCGTCCAAACTTTTCTCTTGAGCCTTTGTCAGTGTCCAGGTTTCTGATCCGTAGAGCAGTACTGATTCACAAGCCGCTATGAACAATCTAATCTTTAGGCTCTTTGAGAGTTTGGATTTCCAGATATCCTTCAGTCTATGTAGGGCACCCCACGCTTTTCCCTTTCTAACCCTTATCTCCCTATCTGTGCTCTCAATCCAGGAGCCTAAGTAGATGAAATCATCTACATTTTCTATGGCTTCCCCGGATCGACTTTGTAGGTCGCTAGATCGATCCTCCATATTCAGTGTCATGACCTTGGTCTTGCCTTCGTTTATGTGTAGTCCCACGCTTGCTGCCGCCGATTCTACTCTGAGCAGGAACTCGTTAGCCTTGTCCATGTCCTCAGATATAAGTGCTATATCATCTGCAAAGTCCACATCGGTGATGATCTTGGGCCCCACTCTTCTGCTTTTTCTACGTTCGAGGGTGAGTCCAAGTCGCTCCGCATCATCGCCTATGGCTTGCCTCATACAGTAGTCGATGACTATTGCAAAGAGGTAAGGTGCTAAGGTATCACCCTGTAACACACCTGCAAGTATCTCGAACAATTCAGTTTCTCCGTCTGGAGTTAGGACTTTGGCCATTGTCTTCTCGTACATGAGCCGTATAAGCTGCACGATTTTGACTGGAATGCCGTAAGCTTCTAGAATCTTTAGCATTTTCCCACGATGTACACTGTCGAAAGCCTTCTTAAAGTCTATAAATGTCAGAACAGCTGGCAGTTTCCGACTCTTGACACCCTCTATAAGACGTCTCAGTACCAATATCTGTTGAGTTGTTGACCTTCCTGGTCTGAATCCATTCTGGTTTCTACGCAGAATTGTCTCGATTTCTGGCTTCAACCGGTTTAGAACCATCTTGTTTAGAGACTTGGCAACTAGGGATGACAAGCTTATTCCCCGATAGTTCATTGGTTCGCTAAGGTCGCCCTTCTTTGGAATTGGTATGATGTTGGCAGTTGACCATTGGTCTGGTTTCTCACCTTTCAATAGAGCATTGTTACAGAAGTCTAAGACAATTTGATCAAGGTCGCATCGTTTTAAGACTTCTGGGGCTATGTTGTCGTCACCCCATGCTTTCCCTTCCTTTATGCTGGACTTTGCTTTCCTGTACTCATCCAACGTAAACGGTTCTGTTCCGATATTCAGAGGTGGGTGGACTGGATCAATATCCTCTTCCGCGTTCTCTACCGTCGGTGGTGAGCCGAGAAGAGTAGCAAAATAGTCCTTCCATTTCTGAACCCTTTCCGTTGGTGAGTTTCCCTTGATTTTGCCAGTATATGATGGAGCTTTACCTGTGATCTTGTTGATCATGGTCCAGCTTTTAGCATGTCTGCCCTGCCAACTTGCTTCCTCCAGTTCCCGGACCTGCCCCTCCAGCAGGTGCTCTTTGGCTGCTTGATAAGCATCGCCTAGCTTCTGTTTGCCCTCTTGAACAGCTATTCGGTTGTCTTCTGTAGCATCTGAGTGGTATTTTATGCTACATTCCCTCAGCTTCAGCCTGGCAATCTCAACACTTGGAGTCGCTGAGATTTTACATCTTTTCTTTTTCTCCTTTTCAGGTAGTAAAAGTCGAGAAGTTGTCCTATTCGCATCAATAAAGCATTGGTACATTTCTGTTGCCGTCTGATCATCCTTTTCAAGTATGGAAAAGCGGTTTTTAACTTCCACTGTGTACCTCTCTTGTAGAGCGATATCAGTTTTAAGTTTAGACCAGTCCAGAACCGGAGCCCTCTTCTCCGTCTTGCTTATCCGTAGACTAAGCTTTACCCTTGCTACGACTACTCTGTGATCCGAGCCAATACTGTGGAAACTACCATATGCTTCGGAGTTCTTGACGGAGTTCCGCCATTTCTTCCGGCAAATGATGAAGTCGATTTGAGATTTACTTTAACTCATATCTGAGAGATATGTCCAGAGTTTACCTCTTCGCTTCTGAAATCTGGTGTTTGTGATTTCTAGCTGTCGCTCCAACAGCATATCCTCTAGCAGTCTACCATTTCGGTTTGCTGGACCCTTGTGGAAGGATGTCCAGTTTCCTGATGATGAGACATGCGCATTGAGGTCTCCTACAACGAATAGTAAGTTGTGGGCTGGTATCTGGTCGATGGCACCACCAAGGCTGTCGTAGTAGTTTTCTGCTTCGTCGACAGTCGCCCCCTCTGTCGGGCTATAAGTCACAATAACAGTTGTGACCGGGTTCCCTGCAAAGTTGGCTACCATCGTCCTCCTGTCATGCGAGTATACACTAATCAATGAGTTGAATACTGTCTTTTTGTCCAAGACAATACCAACCCCACCAGCAGCCGCCCCATTGCTGGTTCTCCATGCCGAAGTTGTTATGAGGTGAGAGCTTCCAAGATCTTGATACTCGATTTCAGTGCTATGTACTACCCGATGCTCCTGAATGCCCAAAATATGTACGCCACTATCCCTCATGCATACACCCAGCTCATCCCTCTTGTATTGTTCTCTTATTGTTCGTACATTAAGAGTTCCTACAAGAATTTCCTTCTGGCCACGTAGTAGTAGGGTACCAGCCTTTGAAAGAGTTGGAGCAGGAGATTTGGGTGTGACCCGCCGGTCGAGAGATTAAGGTGTGTGCCCGAGATAAATACCCCACACACCATGTGTTGAGTCTACGGCGGCGCCCGGCCAATAGGCAGGTCACAAATTGTTTTGCCAGACTTGTATAACCGCATCATAGTACTCAAGCGAACAACCATCCCCCTGTTCGCTAGGGCCGTTACTGCAGAAAGCCTCACGTCTAGAACAATTGATCATTTGTCGCTCCTGATCCTAGAGCATCCTTGTCTCGTTACTTGTCACATGCACTTTTTCTAAAGAGGAACTGTATAGTGATATACAGAAAGAAAATCTGTAGTAGATTTTCAAAGGCGACTGATAATATTGCGGACGCCACACCAGCAATATGACAACCATACCATAATCCAACATTCCCATGCACCTTTATAGTTTAGAGTGCTTAGCACTATCCCAACTGCCAATATATTGCCAAAACGTTTTTGTCCAACAGAAATGTCAACTATAGTTATAGTGTTATACACTGTGCCTCAAATTATTTGATCAAAGCCGAGGATGTGGGATGATAGGCCGGTATATGTAGTGTAGTGCTGACACCTAACTAGGACTGAGTGCAGTAGGACGGTAGAATGCAAGTGTGCAAGTATATAATATACATGTTTTGCGGGGTCCTGTTGACGGACCGGCGTTTTGATCTGTATTATCTCCGTAATTTAGCTTATGATAGGAGATATTGGCAGAAATTACAATGAAGTTTTTGGAATGATTTAATAATATAATATGCTGAAACAATAACTATTTAGGCTGAAAAACTAACAATCAATACCAGCTGCAGCCTGTGAAGAATACTTAAACTAAAGTTTGTAGTATTTAAATAAGTAGCTTCACCACATTTTCCACTGAATTCACGCTTTCTTTCAACCTTCATTCAGGAAGTTTTCTTATCGAATGTTCTTCGTCTTTGATCTTCACGGCTGATAGAATTTAGATCATAATTATTTTATAAATGATTCTTCACAGGTTCTAAATCTCACAGCCTCTATATCTCACAGCCTCTATTATCTATATCATAAAAAGTGTTTGGACGTGTGTTTGTTTGCTATTAATAACGTATTTGTAGGCAGACAGACAGACAGACAGACAGGCAGGCAGGCAGGCAGGCAGGCAGGCAGGCAGGCAGGCAGGCAGGCAGGCAGGCAGGCAGGCAGGCAGGCAGGCAGGCAGGCAGGCAGGCAGGCAGGCAGGCAGGCAGGCAGGCAGGCAGGCAGGCAGGCAGGCAGGCAGGCAGGCAGGCAGGCAGGCAGACAGACAGACAGACAGACAGACAGACAGACAGACAGACAGACAGACAGCCAGCCAGCCAGCCAGCCAGGCAGGCAGGCAGGCAGGCAGGCAGGCAGGCAGGCAGGCAGGCAGGCAGGCAGGCAGGCAGGCAGGCAGGCAGGCAGGCAGGCAGGCAGGCAGGCAGGCAGGCAGGCAGGCAGGCAGGCAGGCAGGCAGGCAGGCAGGCAGGCAGGCAGGCAGGCAGGCAGGCAGGCAGGCAGGCAGGCAGGCAGACAGACAGACAGACAGACAGACAGACAGACAGACAGACAGACAGACAGACAGACAGACAGACAGACAGACAGACAGACAGACAGTACTCTCATAGTCTCGTGAATCTGGAGGATCGTTAAATTATTATTATTATTTTTTAATAAAAGTTCTAAACAAGGTATAGTATAACGCCCAAGTCTAATCTTTCCTTAAAACAAATAACTAAATATCAAAACTTCATTGTAATTTCTGCCAATATCTCTTATCATAAGCTAAATTACGGAGATAATACAGATACAAATATTATTCATATAACGATTTCTTTTACATAAATCATGCACAATCAGTGAGAATAAATTTCTTTGGGGTCTTCCTCTTCTCCCTGGTAAGTCCAGTGTATTGATGGCAAAAATGAGGCAAGAAAACGTTGGTCCGTCAACAGGACCCCGCAAAACATGTCCTAACATTCTCCACTGACCACGAGCCACTTTTTGTGACAATGGTTCAGCATTGCAGCGTTTATACAAGTTTTTGTTGGAGATGACTCCTGGGTACAGATCGTTAAATAAGATGTTGAAATCTTGATTACTTATCGTAGTACAGAACTATTCACAAGACTGATTTGTATAAGTATGATAAAGTTTGTAGTGACTTTTGGCTTAAACTGTATTATCATTAATTAAATGCAAGTTCAGTATAAGTGTACAGTGTGTGTGAAATGTCAAATGTGTAAATGTGAAATGTGAAATGTGTAAATGTGTCATGGTCTTCCTATTGTACTTCCACCTTGATGCCACCTGTACATTGTACAGTACTACAGAGTTCAGCCAGAGTGGTTTTATTTGATAGGTAAAACTTGTTGATCTTACGAAGAAACTTTGAATTGTGACTGTCCACTGTACTAACAATATCACGCTAAATTCCTGTAATTGTAGTGAAATTCCCATACACTTGAGCAGTGAATGAAGATCCGTATCAAGATCCCTATCAAGTTAGCTTAATTGCGTGAGAGTAGAACTACTAGTTTGTTAGTTACTACTAACTAACTTTTTACAGAATGAAGTTCAGACAAATGGATTAAAGTTATCCAAAAAGAACATCCTTGCAAGACTTTTGAAACACCCTGTAGATGTGTATTAAATATGTTCTGACGTTCCCTTACTACATACTACCAAGCCTCTAATAACTCAATTACAAATAAAGTACATTTAAATCTAATAACGGTCGATAATTGAATTAGATTATTAAATAGTAGTACTTAGTAGATCTACTGAAATACGCGTAGTTTAAATGTTGATTTATTTTAGACATCATATTAACATTTGACACATTCTAAATAACACTAATATCAGTTAATAATTTCAATATTCCCTCAATATTTCAGCCTGTTATTGGAGTAAAACACCCGTCTAAATAACACTAATATTAGTTAATAATTAATAATAACATTCCCTCAATATTTCAGCCTGTTATTGGAGTAAAACACCCGTCTAAATAACACTAATATTAGTTAATAATTAATAATAACATTCCCTCAATATTTCAGCCTGTTATTGGAGTTAAACACCCTTCTAAATAACACTAATATTAGTTAATAATTAATAATAACATTCCCTCAATATTTCAGCCTGTTATTGGAGTTAAACACCCTTCTAAATAACACTAATATTAGTTAATAATTAATAATAGCATTCCCTCAATATTTCAGCCTGTTATTGGAGTAAAACACCCTTCTAAAGCGAGGTTATTTGTTATTACTGGACCTGTTGGACCGTACTACGAACAAAAAGGTATACACTTTAATTAAGCTCTATACAACTTAATTAAACTATATTTATAATTAATTAATTAGTTTAATTAAGCTCTATACAACTTAATTAAACTATATATATAATTAATTAATTAGTTTAATTAAGCTCTATACAACTTAATTAAACTATATATATAATTAATTAATTAGTTTAATTAAGCTCTATACAACTTAATTAAACTATATATATAATTAATTAATTAGTTTAATTAAGCTCTATACAACTTTATTAAACTATATATATAATTAATTAATTAGTTTAATTAAGCTCTATACAACTTAATTAAACTATATATATAATTAATTAATTAGTTTAATTAAGCTCTATACAACTTAATTAAACTATATATATAATTAATTAATTAGTTTAATTAAGCTCTATACAACTTAATTAAACTATATATATAATTAATTAATTAGTTTAATTAAGCTCTTTACAACTTAATTAAACTAATAATTCGGAACATCTTTACCCAAACTACATTAGATGATGATATTAAAACCTACTGTATCTCTATAGTTATAACCTAAACTCCTGGCAGGTACGGAACTGTTCAAGTCTATAAAACTGATGGCAGATCCTCAGTATGTAAGAGCTTGGGAAGGTGGGATTGGAGCTTTCAAGGCTGGAGGGTAAGTATTTTACTGGTATTCTTTTGCTAAACTCTACAATGCTACTGATAGCATATCCTTATTATCTAAGGTATGTATTATCACGTTTTAATTGTATCGAAATTTATAGTTTACATATTAACACATCTACAGGAACTATGCACCAACAATACACATACAGAAGATCGCACAGACCCAAGGGTGTCAACAAGTTCTGTGGCTGTACGGTGATGACAAACAGATGACAGAAGCAGGAACCATGAACTTTCTTATCTACTGGATCAATAGCGACGGAGGTATGTCTGAAATGTTAGAACTATTTATTGTTTTGGAACTTGATCAACGTAACTTGATGAGGTTGTAATGTATAAGCGTAGCACGTAAGAGGAGTTGAGCTGTTATATTGCTATGATTATTGACTGTTTTCACCTTTTTATCATGATTGAAGTGCTGACAATCTTTATTTAATTTTTTATTAAATGTTATGCTTGGATTGAGGTATGATTGCTTGGTATTTGTAATCTTATTACAAGCAGATTTGGTGAGGGTCTACATTTTATTGTACATGTAGCGCGCTATATCATTCGTTAAAAGGTACAGCGCGCGAAACTCGACTCGCGCGCAGCAGCGCGCGCACTGCGATCGATTATTAAATTATACATATCACTCGACGCGATAATGACTATCGATCGCCGTTATCAACATTTATTAGCCCAACAACTATAATAAATATTTCAGAAAAAGAGCTGATAACTGCACCTCTGGACAGTGGTCTGATTCTTCCTGGCGTGACACGGCAGAGCGTTCTGGATATGGCTAGAGAATGGGTTAGTTATTTAGTGTAATCCTGTTAACTGCTTCCAACCAACGTTTGCTGCTACTTCTGTATAAATATGACGAATAGTATTATACAATAGTATTTGGAGCCATCGGTGTGATTTGAAGATTATGATTGGACGATTTGACGCTTAAGTGGGACTACTATTTAGTCTACTTGAGAATGCTTTGCGTGTAATAACCGTAAATATTTGTTAAGACGCAGCTCGGCTTGACTTTATCAATGTTTATTTACCAGGGAGAATTCAAAGTGACGGAGAGAATGGTAACGATGCCTGAGTTTATAAAAGCAGCTGATGAGGAGAGAATAATAGAAGTATTTGGAGCTGGTACAGCCTGCATGATCGCTCCTATAGACTGCATTCTCTACGAGGGACAGGTTAGTTAGCTCTCAGTTGTTTTGTTGTCTCGAGGTACTCCGAGTGTTTCCTATGAAATCACCTGTTTTGAGACAGTGACAGTGACACTTGTGTGACAGTCACATTATATTATGGGTCTTGAGATCTACACGTTTTATTGTTGTTGTCTTATATGGCGTTACATATCCCTTGAAGGTGTTAGCTATTGTGTTTACCTGATTATGTTTACCAACGTTTTAATTCCTCAGGATATCAATTTACCCACCATGACTAGTGGGGCTAAGTTATCTAAAAGATTGTTCGAAGAATTGACTGCTATTCAGGTAAGAGTGCTTTTAATTTACATTCTTTAAACTGAATTACCACTCCTAGATTTTCATTCGGAATAATTTCGTAGCTTGTTTAATCAATGACTAAACTCACTTTCAGACGGGTAAAGTTGAACACTCCTGGTCCCAAAGTATCTACACCTGAGCTGACTCTACGTTTGTTTCCACAAAAATTATATGGTAGTGTATGAAAAAATGTGTTTATAGACTTTAATATTATGTATTTTTGGGCAGATGTAATATTCCCGAAGTGTCTGTTAGGATTTAGGATATAAATATATATGCTGTTATGTTTTCGTTTTGTTATTCTAGTTGACTAGTCGGATTATTGAAGTATGTAGTAGCTGTTATAGTTTAGTGCCATTTTGGGACGAACTTCCAGAGGAGCTCATCAAAATCGTAAAATTATTTGTATTTCAGTTTAAATCTTATTTGTATGAACTTTTGGTACTTTTCATAATATTGGACAGTTTATAGATATTGCTTATGGAGTTGTTCATATTAGTGACATATGTGTACATATTATATTAAAGTCATTATTGTAACGGTATATTAGAACCAGACAGAAACAAAGTGTGAAGGGCCTGAACGGAACCCCTCGGTTTGTGTTTGTTTAGGGAATGGCATGCAACAGAAATGTGCAATTTGCTGATTAATCTTGGGGCGAACCAATCGTCATTTACCCGTACGGGTAAATACGAGCAAGCTCGATTTTACCCATTTGCTCGGAAATGGTGTTAAATGCTATTGTACTGTTGCAAGCCATTATTGTAGCAACTCATCTGTTGTAACCCTCAGTAACTAGTGCAGGAGTATTATACCAGTACAGACTGCTGGAGTTGCTTACATTTTTATTAGGTTTAAATTATTACAAACTTTTAAGTTAGTATCTGTAAATACATATAATATTTAGACGCTTGTACCGTACATATTTTATTTACTTAGAGTTCTTGCGTTTAAACCGTCTTTTGGTTGGAGGTGCTAGTTGTTTAGTTAGGAAAGCATATTAATATTTTCAACACGTACATACACAGTAAAATATTCCGAAGAGCCACTTCGGATTATTTTCAAAATAAGGATACGTTTAACGTACACATAGTGTGTAAACAGGACTGTCTCAGTATATAGTTCTTGCGGACTTTTTAATTTGCAAAAATTAAAAGTGTCCCAACACCGTTATTTTTTAGTTGTGGAAAAGTCTATTTAGGAGTGTCTTTGATTTTTCCAGCAGAAATTTCCTTTATTAAATTATCTGAGACGAATTGTGTTTAATGCCCGTTTTTGTGAAATTACAGTTTTACTTATATCGGATTATTAATAAAGGGACTTTTCTTCTTAGTTCACTCCGCAAAAAATGTCATAAACACACAAGCCGATGCACTAATATAATAATTTGTTATTCGAAAGTCGGCTTTTCTATGATCATATGGGTTATGTGTTTCCGTACACATCTCCGTCGATAAAATAACAACATATCTGCGATTGTCGATGGATAGATACCACGTGTGGCTTTTTCATAGCGGATTGAAGACTGAAGTTAATATATAATATAGCCAACAGTATGGTCACAGAATATAAGTAGTATGTTGAGGCAATCTGGGTTATTGCCTGTAAAGTTACGTAGCGGTCCAAATTCCAAGTTACTTTTTTTCCAAACCGGGTGCATCGGCACAGGTCGTGCCTGAAATTAATTCATACTAAATATTAGAGGTAAAGAGCGCGTCGTGGCAAGCACGCCGTCTACCCCAATGCGTTTAATGCGCGCAACAAAACTTAATACTGAATAATTATTTAGCGCGTTTCAACCAACACTACTCTGATCTTTTCTACAATTACAGGATCAAATTTAAGCGTATTGAAAAATTATTGTGCGCCTTAATATCTGTCTAATATCGCACTGGTAGTTTTGCAGAGGTTTCTTCTGGTCAGGTGAAACCATCGAAGGGACCCTGAATGGAGGCAAAAACTTTAATGTTACCAGAGAAATATTAACTAAAAACGACAATTTTTTCCCCCCCTTTTTTGTATATTTCCGTCAGTTAATAAGCCCCCCTGATATTCTGGTTTAATGAGAGGACTGAGAGTATATCCAAAGCGTTTGTTAGTCCTATTGGCCCGGACAGTAATTCAAACATCGCGTTATTTTCGATTTCTCTAATATCAGTAAGTGATAAAGTAATTTCAATGAAATATCAATATGTATGTTAAAGAAAATACAGGCAACAAGTTAGTAAAATACGATCAAAAGTCATGACTCATTTTTAACATCCTGACAACACACTTTTTAAGGGTAAATGAATACGTAAACATTTTAAAAAAACACGTTAAAACTGTAAAAATGATCTCATATGTTTTGTACGTCAAAAGCATTTTAAGACTTTCATTTTATTCGGCCGATAACACTCCTGACAGATTTCATTTCAAAATATGAGATATTTATTGCGTAGAAATTAACTTAACTTTTCCTATATTTCCGATTCCACCCCGGCACACCTAGGTGAATGCGAGATGATCCCAAGTTGTTGGTCACTCATAAAATATTAAGTAACGAGTCGTCTGTATTTTCGCTTATTTTAAAATCACCTTTTGAAATGTTGAGCACATTCCATCACTGTTTCGATACATTTTTCAAATAATTATCATTCTGAGATTGGGCAAAAATAACAACAAAAACGCGCCACCAAAGTGGTTGAAATCTACATATTAACCTTAATAACAACACCTCGCCGGATTATCTAAGAACGAAACACCAAAAATTACTTTTTCAAATCTAACAGATAATTGTTCAGCAATTCATCATGCCGTATGTACCCATACCATCGCAACATGTACATACAAGGTAACAATGTAGAAATAGAAAAACTTGCGAAAGTACCTACCATTATGAGCTGATTACATTACTTATTACTTACGTATCACAAGCATATAATAAAGTTATGTATGTAATTCCATTAGTTAACTTACTCGTCGATGAAAGAAAAATAATAAAGTAATAAAATTAACAGTATTATATTATCATAATCTGATAGGAATAAATGAGGACAAAGGTGGATTTGTAACAGAGACGTCTTCTAATATACGAGCAAACCAAATATTGATCCAAGTCAAAAAAAGGTTTCAATCACGAGGAAACCGTGCGATAAAATATCGTCATCACTAAACCACGTGAAGTCATCACTAAACCACGTGACGTCATCACTAAACCACGTGACGTCATCACTAAACCACGTGACGTCATCACTAAACCACGTGACGTCATCACTAAACCACGTGACGTCATCACTAAACCACGTGATGTCATCACTAAACAACGTGACGTCATCACTAAACCACGTGATGTCATCACTTAACCACGTGACGTCATCACTAAACCACGTGACGTCCTCACTAAACAACGTGACGTCATCACTTAACCACGTGACGTCATAACTAAACACGTGACGTCATCCAATAAACACGTGGACTTCATCACTAAAACCATGTGACGTCATCACTAAAAGTGCGTATCACTAAACAACGTGACGTAATCACTTAACCCGTGACGTCATTAACTAAACCACGTGACGTCATCACTAAACCACGTGACGTCATCACTAAACCAGGTGACGTCATCACTAAACCACGTGACGTCACGTATCACAACCACTGCTATCCTCACAGTACATAGAATCGTCCTCCTGACTCGCGCTCTTAATGTCATTCCTTACAATAGCCCTGTCCAGTTTAACCCAGAAGTAAAGGAGGAAGAGAGCCAGACACCACGTGATAATACAAGTCCACATGGAGAGAAAGAAGGAGTTTCTTTTGGGGGGGTGGTGGGGGTGGGGGGGGGGGGCCAGGGTAGTTCGGGTTAGAGGGGTCCGTGAAGTTAGGTACCATACTGGAGAACACCCAGTATCCTCCTGAAATATAGGTGGTATTAGAGGGGTATGTGAGTCAGTACCATTCTGGAGAACACCAGTATCCTCTGATATATCGTGTTATTAGATGGGTCTGTGAAGTCAGGTACATACTGGAGAACACCAGTATCCTCCTGAATATAGGTGTTATATAGAGGGGTCTGTTGAAGTCAGGTACCATAATGGAGAACACCCAGTTTCCTCCTGAAATATGGTGATATTCAGAGGGTCTGTGAAGTCAGGTTCCTACTGGAGAACACCAGTATCCCTGAAATCTAGGTGTTATTAGAGGGTCGTTGAAGTCAGGTACCATTCTGGAGAACACCCTTATCCTCCTGAAATATAGGTGTTATTAGAGGGGTCTGTCGAAGTCTGGTACCATATGGAGAACACCCAGAACATCTGAAATATAGGTGTTATTAGAGGGGTCTGTGAAGTCAGGTACCATACTGGAGAACACCCAGTATCCTCCTGAAATATAGGTGGTATTAGAGGGGTCTTTGAAGAGGTTCCATTACTGGAGAACAACCCAGCATCCTCCTGAAATCTAGGCTGTTATTAGAGGGGTTATGAGTCAGGTAACATACTGGAGAAACAACCCAGTATCCTCCTTGAAATATAGGAGTTATTAGAGGGGTCTTGAATGTCAGGTACATACTGCGAGAACACCCAGTATCTCCTGAAATATAGGTGTTATTAGTGGGGTCGGAGACAGTCTGGTACCATACTGGGAGATCACCAGGTTATCCTCTTGAAAATAATAGGTGTTTTAGAGGGGTCTGTGAAGTCAGGTACCATACTGGAGTCCACCCGTATCCCCTGAATATAGGTGTTATTAGAGGGGTCTGTGAAGTCAGGTACCATACTGGAGAACAAATACCCAGTTTCCTCCTCGAAAAAATAGGTGTATTAGAGGGGTCTGTGAAGTCCGGTTACCATACTGGAGAACACCCAGTATCCTCCTGAAATATAGGTGTTTACTAGAGGGGTCTTGTGAAGTAGTACCATTCTGGAGAACACCCAGTATCCTCCTGAAATTATTAGGGTGTATTAGCGGGGTCTGTGAAAAGTCAGGTACAATAACTGGACGAACACCCAGTATCCTCCTGAAAATATAGGTGTTATTAGAGGGGTCTGTGAAGCAGGTACATTCTGAGCAACACCAGTATCCTCCTGGAATTATAGGTGTTATTAGCGGGTCTGTGAAGTCCCGGACCATACTGGAGAACACCCAGTCTCCTCAGAAATATGGGTGTTATTAGAGGGGTCTTGAAGTAGGTACCATATGGAGAACCCCAGTATTCCTCC